AGACTAAGGTTACGTGGCACCCTTTAGATGGCAACCATAGATCGACATCTCTCATATAGTGGCGGTACCTACGCCTTCTTGTATCCTAAATAACAATGTTATCCACAGGCGCATATCTATATATTGATGTTATTTATACCTGCTCGTGTCCAATATAGGAGTGGCACATAAAGATTTTTATGTGCTTCATAGGGATCCTACTCATACCTGTTCATATCCTATATATGGGAAATATCCTACCTCTTCACATGCTATCGAGGCTTTGTATGTACAGGTTAAGATATGCCATAATTTCAATATGGCATTCACTTTTTCGAAAACAGTGGCATATTCTAAACGTTCTTCCATGGTTTCCGAAGTGGAGAAAATGGAATCCTTGCATGGTTTCTCGAATTCCTATATTTGACAGTCTTGCATGGTAAGGTCAAATTTGTAAAATACTGTTTCCCTGCTATAGTGAAGACAAGCCATTGTACTGTTTGTATCGTAAGAAGGAGAATCTCTTCAAACTCTAGAGTCGTTGTTTACAATACTTTATTAGTTCGCTACAGTCGTTGAGAGGAAGCATCATTGAAGTGTGATTGCTCGCCGTCAGGAAGTTCTTAGTCAGACAATTTGGTTTCCGAAAAAATGTTCGTCACTATTGCAGGGGCAAAGCATAGTACAGTTCTGGCTGATTAGGCGACTTTATGTGGTGTCGCTTCACTTCATTCAAACAATAGCATCTATTGCTCTTACGAAAATGGGTGTGGGTGTATGTGAGTGCTATGGGGGTTGGATGGGTGGGTATGAGTAAAGGTATGAGTATGAGTGTTTGTGTATGTGGAATTACTTACTTCTTCCATACCCACATCCAAAAACTCACCCATACTCACCACCATTGACACCCACCCTCGACGTTCTCTCTACTTAATACTGTTCGAACGTTATTGAAAGATATCCGAATACATTGCTTTTTGATACTGGTACTAGCTATGTGTTTTTCTTTGCGTAGATAATTTATGTTAAACTATGCATAAAGTATATATTCAATGAGTACTATAATGGATTCAGAAACTGTAGAAAACACAATTGTTTCGCGAAGTGCAACAGATTGTGTGCAAAGTTCACTTTGCCGGACAAATATGATTGAGCAAAAGAATTTAGAAAATTTTCAAATCGTTTGGCTTGATGCTGATATCAATAAAACATATGATAATTTAAAAACAATATCACTATTGCGTGCTACTATTAACTATCTAAATATATTTGACAATATTTGGGACTGTTATGACTATATAGCTAAAGTTCAAAATGACAAAGTATTTTTAATTGTATCAGGTGCAATCAGTCAATCTATAATACCTTATGTTTACCAAATGCCACAAATTCAGTATGTTTATCTATACTGTTTTGATGTTGAGAAACATAAACATTGGGCAACGGAATATGGTATAGTGCGTGGACCATATACTAATATGAACGATATTTGCAAGCAATTGAGTGCAGACGTTATTATATGCTCACAGCATTTCTTATCCATGAATATTATATCTACACACATAAAAGGCAAAGAAATAAACAAACAAGAAGCCTCATTTATGTACTTTCAAATAATGATTGAAATCCTGATTGGAATGGAAGCGGAAGAGGACGCCAAAGCAAACATGGTGAACTATTGTCGATTGCAGTATGATGGTAATGAAACCAATTTGAAGCACATCGATGAATTTAGTAAAACTTATACTTCAAATAAAGCCATATGGTGGTACACCAAACATTGTTTTATTTATGAAATATTGAATAAAGCCCTTCGCATCCAAGACATTGATATTCTCTATAATTATCGCTTTTTCTTGACAGATCTTCATAACCAGATACAAAAATTACACTTAAAATTTAAAGAATCGTTAACAACAAACAATACCAACATTGAACAAAGCCGACTAACTCTCTATCGTGGCCAGGGTATAAGTGTGGAGGAACTTGAAAACATAAACAACAATATTGGAGGGCTTTTATCCTTTAATAACTTTCTGTCAACTACTACCAATCCAAATGTCGCATTGACACATCTTCCACAACGATCAGACGTTCCGTCTGTTCTTTTTGAAATCAATGCAAACTATAGTGAAAAGACTAAACCATTTTGTGACATAACACACTTCACCAACTTTCCAGAAGAAAAAGAGGTTCTCTTCACTGTCGGATGCATATTTCGAATTGAATCAATTCAAAATCTAGAAAATAGAGTTTCGAAAGTAAATTTGACATTAACAACACAAGAAGATGAACAGCTGAAACAGTTGACAGAATACTTTCGAACGGATTTCGGCGACAGGTGTGATATCAATGCACTAGGCATGCTTCTCATACTTATGGGCAAATACGATAATGCTCAACAATTTTTCAAAATACTACTTCAAAAGAATCAACTCTTAAACACTCATATTCCACTACACTATCAGAATAACTTCGCAGATCAACATGAAGACGGACAATGCCAAAAACCGTTACAATATGATGAGAGAGATCTTCAGATAACTTCACAGTCAATTCTGCCAAGTCACACAACAGCAACGACTACGGATCCTACTACTGGACTACGTTCCAACACAGAAGGTGGAAACAATAACTCTGTACAATGTTATAAACAAGAACTAGCACTTCAACCAAACTCGTTACCACAAAATGGTCCATTCTTAGCAACTGCGCACATTCATAGTGGATTAGTTAGCTATTACCAAGCTCAATATGAAAAAGCCTCAGATCATTATGAACAAGCACTAATAATTATGTTGAACTCGTTGCCACCATATCACTCATCATTAGCAAACATTTATAATAATATGGGACTTCTTTGCAAAGACAAGGCTCAATACAATAAGGCATTAGAATATTATGAGAAAGCACTAGATATTGAACACAAGTCAGAGTCATCAGATCCTTCATCCTTAGCAACTAAATATAACAATATCGGATTACTTTACAGTCAGCAAGGTGAATACAACAAAGCATTGGAATATCATGACAAAGCACTCGAAATTCAAATAAACTTTCTACCGTCAATTCATCCATCGTCGGCAATCACATACACTGATATCGGATTAGTGTACAATGCAAAAGCTGAATACCAGAAAGCATTAGAATATTATGAACGAGGGCTCGAGATTCAACTGAAATCCTTACCACCATTACATCCATCACTAGCAACTACATACAGAAATATTGGAATGGTTCATAATAACAGAGCGGAATACAGCGAGGCTCTAGAGAACTATGAAAAAGCACTGAAAATTGAATTGAACTCATTACCACACAATCATCCATCAGTAGCAACAACATACGCCTCCATTGGAATAGCTCACAAAGAACAAGGTGACTACGACAAAGCTTTAGAATATTATGAAAAAGGACTCGAAATTGAACTACAATCGTTGCCATCACATCATCCCTCTTTAGCCGCTACCTATACTAATATTGGATCAGTTTACGATAGCACAGGTGAATATGATATGGCATTACAGTGCCATGCAAAAGCACTGGAAATTATGTCGATGTCATTACCACCAGATCATCCATCATTAGGAGCTACATATAGCAATATTGGATGCGTTTATAGCAATAAAGGTGAATACGAAAAGGCCCTAGAACATTATGAAAAAGGACTCGAAATCGAGCTCAAATCGTTATCATCACATCACCCGTCTCTAGCAACTACCTATGCTAATATTGGATCAGTTTACAATGAGGTAGGTGAACATGATAACGCATTAAAATATTATGCAACAGCACTGGAAATTATGTTGCACTTCTTGCCTTCACATCATCCATCACTAGGAGCTATATATAGCAATATTGCATTTGCTTACAGTAATAAAGGAGAATATGAAAAGGCACTAGAACATTATGAAAAAGAACTCCAGATTGAACTCAAATCGTTACCATCACATCATTTTTCCTTAGCAACTACCTATACGAATATGGCATCGGTTTTCACTCACAAAGCTGAATATGAAAAGGCACTAGAATATTATGAAAAAGGACTCCAAATTGAACTGCAGTCGTTGCCATCACATCATTCGTCTCTAGTAACTACCTATACAAAAATTGGATCAGCTTACACTCGCACAGCGGAATACGAAAAGGCATTAGAATATTATGAAAAGGGGCTTGAAATTCAACTGCAGTCATTGCCAACACATGATCCATCATTAGCAGACACCTACGATATGATTGGAGTAGTTTACAAGGACAAAGGTGAATACGATAAGGCTTTACAATATCACAGAAAAGCTCTTGATATTAAACACAAGTCGTTACCATCACACCATCTGTCCTTAGCAACTACCTATGCTAATATGGGATCAGTCTACACTCAGAAAGCTGAATATGATAAGGCATTAGAGAATTATGAAAAAGGACTAAAAATTCAGCTGAAATCATTACCAGCGTTGCATCCATCATTAGCAAATGCATACATAAATATCGGATTAGTTTTTAATAACAAAGGAGAACATCACGACGCATTAGAATACTATGAGAAAGGACTCAAAATTCAACTCCAATCATTACCAGCGCATCATCCTTCAATAGCAACTACATATGTCAATATGGGATTGGCTTACACTAGATTAGGTGAATACGACAAAGGACTAGAATATTATGAAAAAGGAATCGAACTTCAACTTCAGTCATTATCATCACATCATCCATCTTTAGCAACTACCTATGATAATATTGGATCAGTTTATACTCTCAAAGCGGAATACGACAAGGCACTAGAATATTATAAAAAAGGACTCCAAATTCAACTCCAATCATTACCATCACAGCATCCATCATTAGCAGCTACGTACGGTAATATTGGGCTGGTTTACACTTACAAAGCTGAATATGACATGGCACTAGAATATAATGAAAAAGCACTGGAAATTGAATTGAAGGTGCTACCATCACATCATCCATCTTTAGCAACTACCTATAATAATATTGGATTAGTTTATACTCACAAAGCGGAATACGACAAGGCACTAGAATATTATAAAAAAGGACTCCAAATTCAACTCCAATCATTACCATCACAGCATCCATCATTAGCAGCTACGTATGGTAAGATTGGACTGGTTTACACTTACAAAGCTGAATATGACATGGCACTAGAATATAATGAAAAAGCACTGGAAATTGAATTGAAGGTGTTACCATCACATCATCCATTATTGGCGACCACATATGTCAATACTGGATTAGTTTACAATAAACAAGGTCAATACGAAAAAGCACTAGAACAAAACCAAATGAACTCGAAATTCAGCTGAAATCGCTGCCATCTCATCATGTATCATTAGGAAATACATATGATCAAGTGGCATTCGTTTACAGTGAAAAAGCCGAATAGGATAAGGCATTCGAATAGGATGTGCGTGTGTCTGTGCGGCTGCATGTGTGCGTGGGTACTAGTGTGTCTGTGAGACTGCAGGTGTGCGTGGATGTGGGTGTTCATGGTGTCTGTATGTGTGTCGATGTGGGTGTCGGTGTAGATATGAGGGTCATTGTGTTATAGGAGTAAATGCTAGCTCCCTAAGAGGCATTGCACCTAAGCCACGACCAACGTTGCGCAATGAATGTCACCGATTTGGCTGATATTTTTACAGTAGATAGATCTAACAGATTTAGGAAGAAACTCAAAATTTCAGTTTAAGCAGATAAGCCATTCTGGAGATATAGACATTGCAAGTATTAGGGTGTAGGCTATATTGCGAGCACTTTTTAGAGCAACACGTTCCAGTAAATTTTCATTTTCTAAGTAACGATAAGAGTTATAATTGAGATTTTTTAACCACAAATACTATCGACCATGTACTATCTTTTGATGGTATTAAAAGTACCTCATTACTGGATAATTGTTGTTTGGCATTATATTTCATTTTCAGAAAACACGCCTACCTAGATAAATCAAGTTAGTCGGATCAGCACAATAGAATAATTCGAGAATGGCCTCATTTGAAAGGCCACATCAAAATAGGTGGAATTCCGTTCTTAAAAATTTGTGATATTGAATTTTAGTATAGAACATTTTTTCAACAATATCCTGCATTTTTATAGAAAATCCTTGGCTAGATAAACATATGTGTGTGCTCGATATTTTTAATATATCACTACTATAAACTATCATTTTCAGAAAGATAATTATATATTCTGATAGCCCATAAAATTCTCTACAACCCTACATATAAACATCTAGGATTACATTTATTCACTGGAAAAATTGTAGGCACACAAAACATAATTTTATCGTCAGATTTCTTCAAATTGTATGTTTGGTTCCTTTTCTATTTGTCTGTTTCAACATTATTTCAATTATAGAATTGAGTTTTAAGAAGAAAGTTATGTGTTCTGATAGTGCGTGAAATTCAGCATCTTTTGATGCATTATTCAAAAGGGAAAAGATGTGAACGAGGATTTAGTAGGAACCACAGTTAATGACAACGGAGAAACAGTGTATTCAAGATTCTTGGAAAACTCACAGAAATTTTGAAAATCTTATGAAGTTCCGAAATTTTTATACTAACAAATTGAATTCTCGAAATTCATATTTAACCTCTATAATCCTCATTCTAGTCCTGACTCCCGAAAATCTCATTGTACTCAGTGTCAGCATTTCACGGCTTTATCACATGACTAGAAAAGCTGCATTAAACTATTGAAGAAAGTTACTTCCTAGACGACCTTGTTTTTCGTGTGCTCGATTGGTGCAGACGTCAAGATTTATCAATAATTCATCACTTTCTTGTTCAAGAATCTCAAGAAAGGCACCTGCAAGAGAGAACGACTTTCATTAATATGGTGAAAAGCACTAGATATAATTTTCAAAGTCGAAGTTATTGCCAGGAAAAAAGTATTCAATCTGGAAAGTGATTGGAACTCGAATGTACCCTTTCTACATGGAATTTTTTTCTTATGAGCATGAACTGCGCAGCTCTCAAGATTTGTACATAGCGCATGATGTTCTTGCTTCAGATACTCATGTATTTCATGCACATAGCCCTGGATAGTTCACTAGGATTATCTATTTTGAAAATTCTAGACTCTCAATCGAATTAGATGTGTATCAAGTCCATTTTGACATCAGGACAGTTTGCTTCCTTGTTTTTATGGGAAAATGTCTGAGGTAAAATAATAAACAGCAGGAAGGAACAGGATAAGTTAATGAGTAATACAAGAAATACGTCGGACTAAATGAATCTATAGCATCGTATCTGTAAGCTTTTATTCATTCAGCAATCTGACAGTTGAACATGCTTAAATTAATAAGGTAGCAGCATAGCCTTCCTATCTACTAAAAGACAAGGGGCTTTCTATCTATGAATAGGGTTGTCACATTTACTGTTACTACCATTTCCATTTATCATGATAACAGCTAGGGGTGGGAAGTTACCGTTCTCAAACCGTTCCTGGGAACGGTAACGGTAACGGAAAAGTTCCCACGTTCTCGGGAACTGGGAACTTTTCCGTTCT